CGGTTGGCACAGTAAGGTCATAATTTAGTGAACGATCTGACTTCCTATTGCGAGGATAATTTTTAATTTTATGTCCAAACGTGTATTAAAAGGTTTCGGCACGGCGCGCGGCGACGTAATCGGGCGCGAATATATAAATTTCACCGGGCGGACAACCGGACGGGATGAGGGGAACCAGGCTCAATCTTAACACGGTCCTGTCGCACGGTGTAATAAAAGTTTTTATTACGAAACACCATTTGCCGGGAGTTCACTCGTCAAGGAATTCACCGGGTGTTCGCGCGCACGCTACCGGCAGATGGAGAAATTTCACCGAGATTCTTGAAATTCCCCTTCTGTAACCTCTCTCCTCATCACCAAAAATCGATATTTATCTCGTCGATGATACGTAACGATAACGCGAGAGAAGTATCGCTTTATCGGTATCCATAATCTCGATTCCACGGATGCGTCGAGCAATACCTTCGTCGTGTTCATACGCTTCCACGAGGATTAGATTGCTGTTTGGAAATTCGAGATTCGTCGATAGCTGTCAAAATCCACATCCCAGAATTATCAGATAGTGAAAAATAAATGGGATACAACCCGTTTCTTTTAATTCATTTTGTCTTTTATTTTTACTATATTTTTAATTCCAATTCTTACTATACATATAGCAGAATTAAGAAGCAAAACGGTTGTGTTACGATATTAATTTCTATGTAAAGTAATTCAAATAGATTCGTTCGAGTCGCAATTAATTTAAAGCCTGATTGATCGCGAGGCTACACACGGTATGAATTAACCGTGAGGAGACCGGTCGTCACCGATCTGGTTCTATCGTTTTCGTTCGCGTAAGAACAGCCATCAACTCGTACCTAATTAGGAGCCACGCGTATCCGTGCACAGTTTTCGAAACGGCGCGCACCGTGTGCGTTTGCATCGCGCGGCCGCGAACTTTCTTGCCCCGGCAAGACTTTCTCGCCGTACAAACCGCTCTCGGACTCGTCTCCTCGCCGACGCGATGTCGCGGCTTCGTAAATTTCCTACGAAGTCGGAAACGGGATTTCGCGACTCGATTCATCTTGCCGGCAATTACCGGCAACGGCACATGATCCGCGTAGCTACTTACCTGCCTTACTCGATCCCCATCGATTTATGGGAAACCTGTGCGTAACGCTTCGGGAGAAACGATTACTTTACTTGCCTGCGCTTCCATCGAAACCCGAACTTGACATGGCGATCGTCCCGTGGAACGATCGATACCCGACAAGCGTTTTCTTCCTTTTTCCCCCTTCCCTTTCCCTCCCCGTATCCACGTACGTGCCGAAGGTACAGAAGCTCCCATGTAGAGGAAATCCTCCCGACGCGTTCGATCCTCGCCGGACGCGATCAGAATTTCCGTGATACGTTTCGTGTTACCGTAAAACCATTTTACTAATCTGTACCGTATGACAATGTACGTATATTAGAATATGTAGGTTTGAGAATTTCGATCGTGTCACTGCATTGGTCGTTGGAAATCATTCATTTGTCAAAGTCGTCCATAATGAATTCATACGACCAATGAAGAGAAAACGAAGAAGTTCGGCAGCCAGTTTAATTTCTAGACGTGTCTAAGCGAAGGACACCACCCGAAAAGGTAAACACCGGTCGGAAGGTATTTCGATCAAAGTATCGGGTACCGAAAGGGGAAGCTTTCCTTCCTCGAATCCGCCTTGGTTCCCTTTTTATTAATTCCCTTCTGGAGGGACACGAATCCGAGCATCGGTACACCCGTCGAAACAGTGGCTGGCTCCCAATTAGGAACCCTCTTTTAAGTAATGCCCGCGATCTCTTCGGGTCCCTCTCTCTGTCACGCCGGGGACCGCCACCTAACCCGTCCTCGTCGGGTCCCCGAGACCGGCCACGATTGACTTTCCGCGGCATCCTCGTCTTTCTCTTGTATAAATTAGTCCCAGCCGCCACATAATGGCGTGTCGATGCGCTACTGTCGTTCCCCCGGCTAACGTTCCACCTTTTAATTCTCTTTTTACCTCGTGCTCAGGTAACTCCCTCTTTCTTGTCTCCCGTTCTATCCACGTCTTCTTCTTCGTCGCTCTCTCTCTCTCTCTCTCTCGTACGTATGCTACGCAGGATCGTATCCTGCCAGAGGACAGTCGAGAGGAATCGCTCGCGGGTTCTCTCGTTCTCTCCTGACCGCTTCGTCCCGCCGCGCTCGTCTTTCGGGAACCGGCCGCTTAATTTACGACCAATTAATTTGGATAAACTGAATGCGGGGAGGCTTGTTTTCGATGCACGCGTTAACCGGGAATTTTTTTATCCCGCTACCTTCCGGTCCCGTGACAACGGACAAAAGTCCGTAGACAGAGTGATCGTACCGTGTTGCACGATGCCTGTCGGTGAAGAAAAAGTCTCGCAGCTTTCCGTAACGCTTCTACAATTCCCAATCCCACGACACCTCGGGAAGCGACCAACTAAAATTTAGAGATGAACAAGCATTTTGCCGTGCTCGTTCGTTTGATGGTAAGTGCATTTTTAGCTGAAATCCTCGCGCGAAATCGTTCCGCCGGTCGTCAAACGGAATTCGCGTCAAGTTTCTCATCGTGTGGAACGGAGTGGAGACAGCCGGCGAAGGAGAAGAGGAAGAGACGGTTCTAAGGAGAGGAGAGAAGCAGTGGCGAGAAGCGCGGAACGGACACGTTGAAGGGGCCTCTTACTCTCTCTCCTCTCGATGTCGTCTCGGGGCCTGTTTGGTATTCCGTTCTCGTCCGGAGGCATAATTGGCCGCCAACTGGCGACGCTCCTCCGGGTATCGCGAAGACAAGAAATTATTCTTTAATTAATTGTCAGCGCTCAATGTGGCCGCATGCGTAGGATCGGTCTCCCGGCCTCCCGTACATAAATTTCATCTATATGGGAGCGCCGCTTCGAGCGCGTGTAACACGAGGCTCCGGCTCTCTCTCCTTTCTCGCGTAGACCGGCGTGTACGAGCGAGAGAGGGAATCGACGTAGATGTGTGTGGTGTGGAATAAAAGGAAGGAGCCGAGAGGGCTTCCGATCCGTGAAAAGGAGGTAGCGAATACCTGGCGCCTGTTTGTAAACCCTTTAACGGTAAATTGTCGCTCCAGAGGGTCGACGTTCAAACGTTTACTCGTCTTCTATGTATTTGACTATTACTACCCTTTCGTATATTTCTTCGAATCCTCGAGTTACCTTCGTATCACGGAAGATACTCAACATCGAGGTAATTCGTGTAGGTGATATCTGTTAGAAGACTTTAAAAAACGAGAGAAGTCGGTGCCATTGATGCTTTTGATCCATCCTACTATCAATTCGCGTGATCAGTATCGACATTCGTTAGCTAGGACGCATTCAATAATTAGCACGTAGGTATAATTAGACTTGTAAAATATTGTGTAATGGGACAAAGGGTCCTGGTCATAAAGATGTGGACAATTTCCGGCGATTCGGTTGGCTCTAATAACCGGTATATCAACGGGAACGGTACGAACAATTAGGCTACTGGTCTCCACCGAAGGGACGACAGTTACGAGCGGCCGAAAGGGATTCAAAGAAGCCGGCGAACTTCTTTGATCGGACGTCCAGTGGATCGGAACTCCGAGATCCTCGTTTTATCCCGGATAAGGTGACTCTTCTGGTTCCATCTTCGTAGATAGGAAAGGTGGGCCCGCGAATCTACGTGACTCGCATTGGCGTCTGTACATAAATTATTTATATTTCTCGTCTTCACTATTCATATCGAAGCTAATGAATTCAATGCTCGACTGGATATCCGGAATAAACTTCATTTTCCTTCGACATTTACACATTACACTCACGTGTGACGTAAGACAAGTAATAACAATTGACAGTGACTGAAATCATCTACATTTTTGAAAATACAATCGTTTATGTAAGTAATGAATAGTTGAATCATCGTTTATGCAATCAGGGATATTAAAATTAATAACTGTGTCCATAGCGGATTTTAATTTAAGGTTCATGATTCAAGATATTTAAAAGAAAACGCTACTTTATGATTCTATGAGTCCGTTGCTGTTATTGCCGTCTGCAGTTTTAATAAATAAAGAAATCAAGGAAAGAACCCAGTTTAATTGGACAGTTGACACCCGTATCGGGTATAAAGGTGAAGTCGGCGCTCATGGACAGATTATTTTCGGGACAGGTGCTTGGGGAAAGGGCCCGGGGTTCGCGTAGATACGAAGCGGTCGTGTCGCGTGTGCGTGAGCTCCGTACACATGCATACGCATATATATTTTTATAATTAGCCAAGGGGCCCTGTGGCGATAAATCAGCGCGCCGTCCAGGCTTAAGACTTAATTAAAAATTTAGTCAAAAACCAATTAGAGGCTACGCAGGATTAACATATTTCTAATTATCCCGACGGACACTTTCGGTTTTCTCGGCCGCCCTATAGCCTTGCCTATACTACTTAGTCGGCGACGCCGCGTCTCCGCTTCGATGACTTTGCGTTACATTTCGTCTTAATGAAATCCGTTCTTCTTTTATTTATTCTTATCCTCCTCGAGTTTCGTTCATGCATTACGATACACTACAGCAAAATATAGACCAAATATCTACACGTATGATTTTATGTAGCTTAAATATATTAATGTACAATTATATCATCTAAAGCAAATTAAAAAAATGCGTTTCTAAAGTGCATAAACTTTTGGGATTGACTGTATAGCCAATACATCCTTAATTTGATAATTGATACGCGCAGCATACTTATCCGGTCATTGGCACGAGATTGTATTTCCTCTTTGTTGCCGTGCAATCGATCGAGTTCGATGCCTCTCGACTTACCTTTTGTACCTACGTAACCTGAAAGTCATACCGTGGGGGCGGGGGATCGCGTGTTTATAGGGTCCCTCGTTTGTTCTTAATTTCACGGGTATGATTCGATTAACGCGCGAACGCGAAACGTTCGCGTAATGGAGTTCCAAGCCATTTTGATGATCGTTACAAGTCAACAAATAAATACTGAAATCACCTTTATTTTGCTATGGTATACTTCCAATGGATAAATTATCATATTACATTTATACAGGGCGCTTAAGTACATCTGGGACCACGTCGTCATCCCAGTACTATCGATAAGTCCCGAATCGTAGCTACCAAATTCACACTTCTAGATACGCACATGTATGTACACGCTTTCTGGCTTTTTTCTTGTTCACCTGCCTTTGGAGGAACCTCCGCACTCACTGAATCAGAACCATTCACGATTCTCCCCCGACAAAACAAGTGAGTTCTCATTCGATTTCCTATGAAATTTATTGCTCCGTTTAGTTACGCATAGTTAGAGAATATTCGACACTGTGTCAGGTAATTTCGAATATCTGCGTATCTGTATCGATAAACGAATTATTGAAACGAGCAACGCGTTCCGCTGGTCGAACGTCTTCGACTTAGTTCGACCGTTGAAGAACGATTTAGGAGCAGGTATTCTTGCTGTGCAGTTCTAGATCGGATACGTATCACGGTTTTTTTTTTTTTATCGACCTAAGTCAGTTATCGCGTCCGTAAATTCCCTCCTGCGGGAGAAGGAAACAAGCCGACGAGAACGGGTCGATTGAAACACTGCGGAGTCGTGGGATTACAATGTCGTTAAGATATTTTACGTTTTCCGTCGATCGTCCGAGTTTAACGAGTCGGAATTGGCATTCGAACGTCCTGTACACGCGTCGATATATTAATATCATTTGTATATACATACGTACACTTAACGCGAATCTTGATACACATCTATTTACAATATGTACAATTGTTCGTTATCGTCGTTCACGTGAGATCAATACCTTGAAATGCGGTCTTAAATGCTGTCAGGTTTCTCGGGTAACAATCGTAAATGCGTATTCTCGCAGATACCGTCCAATATTGTTCTTTTTGCACTTCATTGCACGATCGTAGAAAAATAAAAGCGAAACGATTTTAAGTTCGCCGTCACGTTCTCGAGGACGGGTCCTCGAGTTTCGAGAATCGCGACGGTAAAATCGCGAGTAAACACACGCCGGCAACTTCTCCGATCCTGATTCACTATCGTCAGTCGATTCACTTCGGTGATCCATTGGAAGCAAAATCCTTACAGAGTCTCTCCGTCGATGATGGGCTGATTTTCTGGTATGTGAATTTTCTTTCTCTTTCTTCTTTATTGTCATCCACACTCACTCATCGTATACTGAAATTCAGAAATCTTATCAAGAAGTCTTCCATTCTTCTGTAGATAATTTCCCTTTTGTTTGAAATTGTTAAATTCTTCTCCAGATCCAAATCATCGTATAGTTTTCTTCCTTCAGTTTTATGACCGCACAATGATTCAGTAATCGCTTCCAACGGATCCCACGATTCACTCTTCCTGGAAGGAAGTTGATGACCGCCGATACAGCCAATCTCACTGGTGGTTCGAGTTCGATTAGACCTCTCGAGCCCGATCGGATCTCTCGATGCGTTATATCCTGTCGGTCCGGAAGAAGCAGACTGGCCAGGATATACGAAGCGACTTGGGACCCGTGGCAACTTGCTTCTGCCTTATTAAGGCCTGTGTCCAGGGGGCCCCATGAACATGGCTGCCGCGACATGGGTGTGCCTAGCCATGGCCGCCGCGATGAAGGGAGGCACTCCTGGTGTCCCAGGTGGCCCCACTCCAGAGAACATGAGGCCAGACCCGAAACTCGGGTGCAACAACGGCCTCGCGGATAGTCTCAGCTTCTCGATTTCCGCCTCTTGGAGACGCTTCGCCTTCGCCCGCCTGTTCTGGAACCAGATCTTCACCTGGAACAGAAGAACGATTCCCAACAGTTACTCACTGTCGTACTCTTGTTTACTCGACAGGCTATTCGCACAACGAAAGAATTATTGGTTGATCCGCGACACTTTCCAATTCGTCTTTAACTCGCATTAAGTCCAATTTAGCCAAATATGAAACGAACAGGCAACTGTTGATGTTTTAGTGTGATCTCGTGAACTCGGCGAGCTGCTCGTTTGCTAAATAAGTTCTATGTAAGGAGAACGGCTCGCGCACAGATCGGTGTATACAAAATGCCGTAGGCGATCGACGGGAGGAGCGTCGATACGGGCACGTAATTAAATAATTACGCTATCGATCAAGTCTCGGTAACGTACGTAACGCTCGATTCTCTAACAAGGGACGCGGACGGAGAAAATAGGCGCACCGCGGTACTGCATGAACGGCTATTTAGCGCGTAATTAGCCGGCTCAAATTGGTGAAAGCACAGTCGGTCGTAACCCGAAGCCAGGCCACCATTGCTAGTGGAATTCGCGGATGTAGTTGGAAACTTGCTACGTGGAAAAATATTCGCGGGCCCTGGGACCATCTCCCGGGTAGCGCGGGTTAATTGTGTTTGTACAGACGTCGGACAATTTTTTCTGTTTGGACAGACGCCGACGAACGTCTCATTCCCATTGGGAATCAACCGTACTCTGCTCGTCATAATTACGAAACCGAAGACCAATTTAACAAGCACTATGCACTTATGAATACAAATCAAATAGAATTGATACCAACAATTTTTATAGCAGAATCGCGGGACTATATATTTTTATTTACTCTTTTATCCGTCGTTGATTTTTCTGTAATAACTTCGCGCCGTTCGTGCGAACGAATGCTACAAATTACATATGTAACTGACTTTTACGTGCGTAGATACCTTGACGTTGCTAATTGGATTCCTTTCGAAATGTTGTATTCGGAATATTGCACGCAATGCACGGTAACTTTTATTATTGTCGGGCCATTTGATATAGTGCATTCGCGATGAAGAGGAGGATACCACGTTCACCGAGGGAATTTAGATGGCGCTCGTTGAATGAATAAAAAATCTGCTTTAATTAGAGTATTAACAGGATTATTATCGTTTGAAATATTGTCTGATCTGTAGGCGTCTCTCGTGTATGCCAGTGATGCCGGAGGAATGTTTCGAGACTGTGGCTACAGTTCATCATCGCCCGAACGTTAATACGCGACTAGGTGCGCGTGTTACGACGACAATCGTTCTATTATCATCATTATTATTCTCGTTACCATTATTTTTATCGAGCGTAATGCTCGCACCGACAACTGGTACGCGGTTCGCCGGTCGAATTAGCATTAAGCACCCCGGAGCACGCGTAATGAGTTCAAGGACCCGTAATCTGATCGCTAAAAACGGGTAGAATGTTACAGAGAACACGTATAAACGGAACGAAGATGCGAGAGGAACGATATAAATCGCGCAGCTCTCTAATAAATTAGTTACAATGTCGACGACGCACGTTAAGCCGTACGTTCCGCGATACGTCGAATTCGAAGGATACCTCCACTACTCGGTCGCGTCGCCGCCGCTTAGAAAGTAGAAATCTCTCGCGTCGTCGCGTGACAATGCGCAATCAAATCGTTAAGCTGGTTACTACTCGGAGGAGAGACACGTTGGTTTTTCTTCTTCATCCAACAACTTCCTGTTTTTCACGCTGTTTCGGATCTTAACGCGCAATTTTCCACAGACGCGAATACTACCTACCCTTAATCTCTTCCTTCATTCGATTACGAGAATTGAAATTCACCAACCGGTACTGATTTCTATCTAACGTGTATCTTCTCGCAAATAGCTTTATACATGTCTGTGCATGTTTATGCAGAAAAAAACATAAATAGAAAGATTTAACAACTAAGTAAATACATGTCGATCATTTTATTATAATTTTTGTTTTTTATTAAAAATGAGTGAAATACGAGTCCCGCGAATTGTCGCGTAAATGATAACTACGATGAGTTCAACTATTGAGACACGAATCTCGACACAGCAATCACGAACATAGCTCTTCGTTGCGGGTGAATAATGCGAGAGACGGGAGAGCGCGCGGCTGTTTCGGAAGGACGAAGGACAGGAGGATCGTAGCTTATCTAAGCAAATGAACGGGACGCGAGGCTTCATTTCTCGTCTAGATGCATTGTAATGAATACGCAAAGTGTGGCCGGACACGCTATACTCGGTGACCGATAATAGCCTCTCGTCTTTTCGACCTAGTAACGACACGTGTTATGTGGCCAGCGAACGTCTAAGAACTATTAATGCCGGTTGGTTAATTTTACTACCACGCTTAAATACCTCATTTCCTGCGGATTTTTATTCCGCTCTCTCGCGTTTAGAGAGTCGGTCAACCACGACTTTACGATTCTACAGACAAATTTACCTTCCCGTCTCATTCGTTAGATAACGATAAATCAGCTGAGAGAATTATACCAGCTTGCATAGCACCTACCCGTTTTAGTTAATTAATATCACGAGGGAGCGTGTATTTTGTTATTATCAGCAGCGCCGACAGTTCACCGCGTCCGGGTACAAATTGGAAGTAGAACCAGAACGTCGTGGTCGGACGACTAATCGCTGCACCACTTTACGCGCCACCGACCACCCACTTCTTTTGTCTCATCACAATTTTTATACGTTATGATGACGTATCTGTATCAATCTCGAGTATTTACGTATAGACATCGTAACGTGAGTTTAATCAACACTTTAATAATCCCACTCCTGTAATTAATTGCGAAATATATACGTGAGAAAGAAGCAAATTCCATGACAATTCACAAATTACGAGTTGATCGCGCGAAATGATACGATGAGTCGATTAATAATTATCAGCGTCGTTTTAATCTCTTGATCTTCCTTGCGTTTGCGCGGATAAACGTCCGGTATGAAAAATCAACTGCATATGATATCATTACGTTCAATTTAATTAACGTCAATCATGTTAATTGCCGGCTAGGGCTCCGTAGAAGGGTATGTAATTACCCGGTTGAATTTGATGTATCTGATGAGAGAGAATTTGCTCGTTCTGACCGCACGTCCCAACGATTACGAAACACAAAGAGGAGCGGAACATGCATACGAGAACAGGGGAAATAAAGTTTACAGAGAACCGCGAGAAGCGAAGAACCTCCCCGTTCACGACGGGGAGGCCTGGCTTTGAAACAGAATGGGCGACTCTTGTTGCGTGCGAGCCACTATTTTTTGCGACTTTCTCTGTTTACGCGTTTCCGAGAACAGGACTGCTCTAAGTTATTCACAACCTCTAATTCTACGTATTCTCGAGTGCATTACCTTTCGAGTATTTAATATCGCACCGAAAGATCGATATTAATTCCCAGCAGCTACGATAAATTGGATCCTTTCTAACAATCGCAAGATACTCTATGTAAATTAGCAATAGATTTGTCTCGGTACACGTACGTTTATCTGTCTGATGAAGTCACTCGAATTTAAAATCATTGTTTATTGTCTTCTCATCCATATTCAGTAGCTCTTCAAGTAATTTTAACACGGTAAATGTATGTATTACATGCAGATAAGATTTCTCTAGCTGCGTTATAAACTTCTCTGGTATACAATGCGTAACAAAATGTTTCTTTCTAATAGTTAATTGTTCGCCGCGCGTTGGAGAATGGTTAATAGCCCATGGTTTCGACCACGCTCGTAAGTAGGTACTCACCTGCGTTTCCGTGAGGTGAAGGGACGACGAGAATTCCGCTCGTTCGGCGATGGTCAGGTACTGCTTTTCGCGAAACTTTTTCTCTAACGAGAGCAGCTGCTGCGTGGTGAACGGCGTCCTCGGCTTCCGATTCGGCTTGTGCTTCCTCAGGGTGCACCTGACCGGGCCCGGACCAGGTCCCGGTAGTCTCAAATCCCCTGGAACCGATCCGAAAAACTGTCGATCAGTGGCAAAACACCGAACGAGAGACTGGTTCTCGAGGAGCCTCGAGAACTTGCAGTGAATTAGAAATTGTTAGGAATCGGGCGTTTTTTTAATTCTGCAGCGGCAAACAAGCGGCATAATATAATGTTTAGCTCAATTTCTCGTATAGCATTGGCGATCTTTGATTCTGTGTGTTACCCTATCCTATTAGTAAGCAACGCGTTACGTTTATTGGCAATAATGTAACTTATGTGCGAAATAATTAATTCATTAAGGAGACGAATTGAGATATCTACGGGACTAAGGCGAATAATATTTCCTCGTAACTCGGTAGCTCGCGTAATTATTAGCTAACTATCGCGTCTGATAAATCGTTCAACATCGACGCAGCTGCAGCGTGAAAGAAGTCCAATTATGTAGACATGCTTCTTCTTTCTCTTGCTCCTTTCTCCGATTTCGTGTCGCAACTCTACTCGCGATAACAGTATTTTGCAAACGTTTGCTTTATTAATTGGCAAGTGAAGGATCGCTTCGGATAAGCCAATTTACTTTCATTTCTCATAAAATGAAGTTATCGTTTGATATAAGTCAATTTACTCGTAGTAAGTGGAGTAAATAAAACAAAACGGATGGTACTTTGCGGAATTAAGCTGTGCGACTGAAGATGATAAAATCTTAACTTACATCATTTCTAATTGGATATCGCGAGTCGATCGATGTTAAAATATGAAAAGAAAGGAGATTATATAAAAGGTATTATACTGTTTATTATTAATTATGTCACCGAATGCGCGAGATAAACGAGATTGGATCCTCGAATATCCGATATCGTTTCAAAGTTCGATGATATTAATCACGTTCGCGCAGATTTGTATTCGAATGGCGCAAAATTATCGACTCGTTATTTCCCTGCGTGCATTGCATAATAATTATCCGCGAGTCCGCGATAACGTCCGACCGTCGGTCGTTAATTAACGGTGGGCGCAACGCTTTCGAATGAAATCCATGATGTCATCCTTTCCGAGCTATTTTTTCGTTTTTGATCCAAATTCGGTTCGTTGCACTTTTGATATTATGCGCATAAAAGTTGAAACGATATACATCTCGATTCAAACTCGTTCATTTAAACGATCGCGCGTGATTTTATATCAATACTCGTACGAGTACAAGATAGAAAAATGTCGCGGTGACAAAAAATTGCTCGCCTCCAGATGTCTTTCAAGACACGACGCGAGTTTCCAAACAAATTCACTTCACGTACGACGCGAACCAACCGCGGGACGACGCGACGGCGACGGGTCGACTTTCATAGTCTGCAAGAAATTCTTAGTGAGAGAGAAAGAGAGAAGGAGAATGAGAGAAAGAGAGAGAGAAATAGACAGTCGAGATGGCAGCGCGAAAATTCAACCTCGTTTCGCGTTAACGATCGCGCTCGGTGTTCACATAAATTATTCGATCGGTCGATCGGGTGCGTGCTCCGCGCAATCAGCGTCAGAGGCGGTTCGTCGTTAATTCCCAATTTAGCACAGGCGAAACCGGAGACCCGCCGTCGCGTCGCGTTGCGTCGTCGTCGTGTCCGTTCATCGTCGATTGGTCGGCAACGATCGGTGAAATTGAATCGTAAAAAATAAATTGTCCCCTCGGTTGCGTTGCCGGCAATAATTATCCCTCGTAACCCGGTGTGTAAGATGATTAACTCGTACGCGTGTCATTAGTCGATTCTCCGCAGTCGGCTCCCGTTTCTTTATCTCGGCCGGCGACGACCTCGCGATCCTGGAATCTTAAACGGAATCGGGGACTTCGACGGTCTATTCGCTCGTTCGGAAACGTATAACGTACTGTAGCGAAGAAAGAGTAATTGGTACTTGTTTACCGAATGCCTCGAACGTAAAAACAGAAATCGCGAGTGGCGAGGATATTCCCGTTACCCGGTCCGTCAATTAATTTTTACGAGGCAATTTTCACTGCAAACGACGGAACGTTCAGAAGAAAATTCTCTACCTCAAGTGTTTTAAAGCTTAAGCTGGGATTGTGCATAGTAGAACCATCAAGTTTCTTGTATAATAATACAGAAATTTGAATGTAGCAAAGCTAATTCTCCTCTATACTTGATGCTGCTAGTTTTATTCTATTTGAATTTATCAAACAATCCATTAAATCCAATAGAATCATTTTGGGGACAAATGTTTATCGCGTAAAGAAAAGGGATATCGTTGACGATTGTGCATCGACGGGACGAGGATGATCCGGTGTATGTTATAAAACGTCTCGTCAGAATTGGCAAAAAAGTTGCTGTTCGTTCGAGGACCAGCAGCTCGAAAGGATGACGATTTCGCGGCAAGCATCGGGGCAAACATCGAATTCCATGTGCTAATTAACGATCGCCTGGCGACAAAAACCGGGGAACCGGCATTGTCGAGAATGGATCTGTCGAGACATCGGTATTACGTCCTCCCATTCCGTTCGACGCGGCGCGTTCCGCCGTGCATCGACCAGTCGTCGTCGACTGCCCGCTCGGCGAGTCCGCTCACATAACCGATCAATATGTTCCTCTCAAAGGCTAATTAATTTCTGCTAATTAAACGCTCGCTAGAATCCCCGAGGAAATATATTTTGCCGCGCAGCTCGCTCGCTTCGTGACTTTCCGCGTAGCGGCGCGTCGACAAAGCGCACCTGCACCTTGACGGCGCTCGTTACTTTTGCTCTCTTTTCGTTCTGTCCAGTTCGCTATTGTCTTTCGCGAGCCACGCGCGACACGGAAGTTTCGACGGGAACGAGCGGACCGTGGGTGTCGGGGCGATTGCAAATGCGATTCTCGGAAAATTCTCTTGGATATTTAGGATAACAGTTACAGTAAAATATTGCCCCTACTTGAAAACAAACACTTGTGCGGCTAATTAAAGTCTTTCAGGCGTAAAATGCTACCGTATGCGCGCATGTATTATAAAACAGGTTGGAAAATGAAAAGTCCTTTCCGATCGCCAAGGAAGTATAAGGCGTGAAAAGAGATACGCCGGTTCGAGAAACAGTTTCGATGCAATGAACGGATATACATCTCGTACGACCGGCGCGGCGGTAGAATAAATTGCGGTTACGATAAGACAAGCGACTGGAATCGGTCGAGTTTTTATGGTAATCGGGACCGTGATAGGAGAAAGCAATTAGTCGTAGCCGATGTAAGGATCGGGCGAAATCAAACGCGCGTAATTGACGGTTCACTCGAACCGCACATACGTTCGACATCCAGAATATTGGCCGAGTTCATTATCTTCGAAGAAAGACTTTCTTTAAGATAGTGTCTTCTTCTTCTTCTTCTTCTTCTTCTTTTAAATCAGTAAAGCGTTGAAGTTTTTGAGGTCTCGCAATAATTCGCGTTATTAATTACTGTTTCGTCGCGAACGTATCCCTCGGTGCACCTCGGAAATTGTTTGAAGAGAGAAAATAATGAATTCCCGATGAGGCTGCTTCATTGGCAATAAATTCTTTGCCTTCGCAGTAAAATGGTCGTTGATGAAACGGGTTTCGTCTTCTATTATCGCGATATCGCGTTGACAATTCCCGCATCCCATTCCGCGCGTTACGTATCTTAACTAATGACCAGTCTGCGTTCAATATGTTTCTTACGAATGCCAATTAATTTCTGCTAATTAAATGTACACGCATGATTTATTATAGATACGTGACGTTAGATATGCGTGCACGAGTAGATGGACTCCGAATGTAGACACCGAGAGGTTTTTTCGCGTTTCCTGCGACGTTTTTTTGTAATTCAAGGTACACGAGTTAGATTAATTAGGTTCATTACTTCAACATGTTCCGCTCAATTTACGAATTTTCACACCATTGACTCTCATACTCCGCAGAAATATATCGGTTTGCATTTGCTTTTCCTTCATTCCATCGAATAACATTAGCCAAATATCGATTTGTGTTTAATTAATATTTCTTATATGGCTGACAAGGCCTCTGTTAAGGTCCTGATCGCATTGTTCGGTTCATTTAACGTTTCGAATTACAAAGAGAAACGCGTGCGGACTGCGTCGAGTCGCGTTAATTAACGTGTTAATAATTAACGATTCCAGCGCGAGCGGCTTGGTTAATTAGAGGTAAGAATCGGCATGAATGAGCGTCAATTCGAGAATGATATTTCCGTTGCAGCTCGGGAATTAGTAAGTAGGCAACCTGTTGTCCAAAACATACTCAAGCAAACGAAATTCTACCGTCTCGATATATGTACAAAGTTGACTATTTATAATGCTGCGAGAACCTGTCGTCGCAATGTTAATTCATTGCAGTATTGAATAGCGTAGTTTCCCTCAAATTCTCCATGAATCTGAAAGCGAGATCGGGTTAAAAAATCATTGGAACAGGTGTGCACCATTTATCTAACCGTGCTCAGCTGAGTTACTTTATCTGCTATCGATGCATTTAACTCACGGTCTACAAGACGGACCACGAATCGTACAAAACGCGTTGCAAATTAAGGTGATTCATCAGCGTCCAATCCGAGAGCGCAATTCACTTCCTTTGAGACCGTTGTGAATCTCTGTTGTAATTAGACTCGTAACTTCCTAATGGTCTGGTACCAATTTCGTTTTAGTTGAATTCTGCGATCTCGCAGGACTAAAATTTGTTGAAAGCCTTAGTTGGTCGTAAGTGGATACGTAATATACATCGTTAAGATAGTTCCCAGGAACGTTTTTGGTTAATTATTGATAAATGAGAAGAACGGACTCGTTTCACGGCAATTAGCGCGTCCAGGGGGCGGATTTTCTTGCCGCCGACTTCCGGAAAAACCGCGTGGCGTCGGACCTTCGCCAGCCGCCGAGACACCCCGGCTGGACGGGGTAATTACGTTCCGCTGCCCGCGGGGATGATGAATCGTTCGGAATATTTTGTGGAACATCATCTGGGAGAGAGGGGAGCCACGGGCGTGTCGTTAATTCATTCCTGAACGCGGCGGCCAGTGCAGATAAATGCGTGCCGGATCGAGCAACACGGCGCGACGGTGGAGGTTCGATCCGTTATAAATGACGTCCGTATTCATAATTTTCGAAACGCCACCGCCCTCCACTGACAGACCGCCGATTATCTATCTGTCGGCCCGAGCCTCGTATCACAACCCCCGCCCTTTTCTGATAAACGCCACCCGTTCTCTGATATATTCAGCGTCTAATTTTTCAAAGAAGTACCTCGGCGTAAAAGGGTGGTATCTCGATTTTATGAAATATAAAAACGAGGATCTAATGAGAAGAGATAATCATCTGAATAGAATTTTTTGATAAGAAATCAAACCAGTCATCCACGAGACTTCGTCGATGAAAAGCACTGCCTGATCAGCCAGAAATCATGTCTTGTGTAAACGGATTGCGGCGTTAAGAAAATCTGAAACCGACGGATCTCCAACCCCGCGTAATTGATCATCGGTTGGGAGCGAACGACGAAGATTGTTACGGAGGGTGAAACAGGAGTGAAAGAATCGAATCACGGTTACCAGTTGCAGGAAGAAAGGGCGCACGGTAAAAAGGAGTATAGAGGCGAGCGGTTTGTCGTTATCATCCCGCAAAAACCGCGAGGTAGACGAGGTTGTTTGAGAAGCTGGGTGAAGTCAGGACGAAGCTAACAAGGACTGTTTTTAGATCGGTTTGAATGCATTATGGATCGGCCAAGTTATGTATGACTCTATCATCTCTCGAAGTGACTGCTTCGAGTACCTACTCCTCGTTTCCTGCTCGTCGCAGGTACTCCTGAAGGGTCTTCCAATTTTTACACCGCACCGCGCGCGTACACACGTTCACGCGCTCCTTCTCCTCGAGACTTTTCTACGCGCCTTTAATGGCCTCGAAGATTTCTTTCTTAGAAACGGCGCAAGTTTCTCATTACACTGCCGCTCGTAATTTCACCGGTTCACTATGGGGAAGAGTTCCGATGTACGTGGACGGTTTAGTTTATGCTACTCGCCGGCTGCAGAAGCCTGGCTGATTTTCAGAATTCAGATCGAACATTTAGGAAGACTGAAGAAGTGAAACCGTTTTTTAAATTCATATACTTCAAACGCGACGTATCTTACTCATTGTTTAATAAAATGCATAATTGACATTCTTGGTTATATTTGTTTATTACAAATGTTTGATACTCGATAGAATTGAAAGACTTCAATCGGGTTTACACGTGTATTTCGATAAGCTGTTGTCGCGAAGGGAAAATCGTCAATTAAGTCGAGCGGATGTTGGAATGAGAAGTCAAAGTGGTGCATTTCCGCGGCGGAATCGATTCATGAATTGAGACCGAGCAGCCGACTCCTTTAATTGACCGATTATTTCGCGCCGTTGACGTGCTCCACGCCCAGCCTTCGCGGGAAACAAAAGTAATTCCTGTCAATCGGTGATTTACTCGACAGGTTTCCAGTACCTATCGACGACCGTTCGATTTTTTCCTCGAGCAAATCGTTTCGTGGAAATCGTGGCGTCGTTAGACGCCACCGACTCGTGACGCAATTGATTTCGGTTCGCTTTGTACGCTATGAGTTTATAAACTCGTTCCCCATCGACATTGGAAATGATATAAGGCCAGTGAAAAAGAGTCCTTTACCTGAGAAAAACCGAATCGCCCTAATACGTGGCGCTAAACGACTACGAATAGACTTGGTGGACTATTTTGTGACATTACCAGAATCGAATTAAGATATTACGGGAACATTGAAAAATTATCAATCCTCATTTGTTTTCCTAGTAACATTGTTATCAGAACATGTCCATTATCCGTGCCAGTAGCAAAATTCTGCATTTTTATATCAGTTATAATTCTTGCAAGTATTTGAATACTTGCAGTCTATAAAGTATGATTCGGGTTAGGTCGGAAATCATTTTCGTACCGGCTTGTACCTTGCCCTTGCGTGTTTGCCATAATTTTGCTTTGATTTTATACCTTTATTTATGTCTGCACTTTGTACTACTCACACGTAATGGGGATAATCTTATTAATATAATATCTAGTGATATTGAATGAAATTATACAGGTCGTGACAACATTTTTACTTGATCCAGTGTCACGAAACAGTTGGTTTATAAATAATTATTAACTACCGATCATCGAAATTGTTCCTTGAACATCTATCAAGAACTCAAGAAATTCATTACAAATTAATAAACCGTTCGAATCAAAACGTCTGCCTCATCCAAGAAGAAGGAAAACCTTTTTTAATCTAACAACTTCCGAGTTGAATCACGGCGTGCTCTAAGCGCGATGAGGAAGAGAGAAGGAAGGAAGAGAGAAAGAGAGAGAGAGAGAGAGAGAATCGGGCCAGCTTTAGCACGTAATTCCGATAATAACCGAAGTCTCGCGTGACCGGCGACACTAATATCGAACTGCGTTATGGGGCTGCGTGTAGCCAGAGTGTTGCGGGGTTCCTGGCTTCCGACTCCCTTCCGTAATCATCAACATTGTAACCCGCTCGGAGCTCGAAATCTGCGCAGATATGCGAAAAATAAACGAGAATATAACGATATACGGAGGCAAGTTAGTTACGCCGACCCGTAAATTGAGTCCGATAAGCGTCGTGTACTCAGCTTCGGGCTAATATTCTACCAAAGCTATGCGGAATTGATGCCATGAGTGTAACATTGCGCGGGCGCGCGCGCCGTCACCATCCAATCAATGCTCCTTTCCGAGATAGGGTTCGATTTTACTGGTTTCTTGTCAAATAATTTTTCACAATTCGGCTTCCAAATGCTGTACGAGTAACCAATCTTTCAATGGTTAAACTTTTCCGAAGAGATTAAAATATTTTCAGTTTCCAAATGAACCATTGAGAACGAAAGGTGTCGATTTGATTCAAGATTTGTCGGAGAATAGCGAGTTAAAAATAAAATGACGGGTTTCGGATGGCACAGGAGCGAAAGTTCGCGTACGATTGTATACGCGATCGTACATGTTTGGTTTTTACGAGGGACCGATTAAACGGGCTCTTAAACGGCTCCTTCATTGCGAATAATCTGTACGCGGGGATCAATTCGGTTGTAAAATTGCGCGCGCAATTACGACCGACTTGCGAGCACAAGATATAGGACGCGCGATAGCGTTTACATCGTTTATTTTTATAATAAGCGGCTTCCTGGCTGCCGCTTTTAAATCTCCCGCTTTCATCTCGAGGAAACTTCAATTACTACTGTGATTACAGTATTTGATTTCTTTTCTAATTACGGTATTAAACGATTTTTTTATCGCCGTTCGCCATAACCCAAAAACGAAACGAATCAAATACGTAGAGTGATATCTCGTTCAGTGTTCAAGTTCATGTTTCTACATCGTTTAGTACGTATGCATACAGTTTACTATCTTTAAGAGAGTTTAGAATTAACTTCGTCCGGAAACGTAGGAGGTTTCTTTACGTCATTTATTCAAGATAATTTAGGAATAAATATTTGAAATAAAATCTCTGGCATACTATATAAGTTAATTGTGCTTGCAAAAGAGAGAAATTTCACTTACCATTTGGACTAGTAGGCCCCCCATGAGGAGTGTAAAGGTGTCCATGGGGATTGTGCGGGTGCGGGGGTGGGGGCAGCCACGCGAATCCGGCCAGGGAATGCGGGAATCCTGCGGGATTCCATCCGGGAGCACCGGGTGCACCCGTGAGGTAAGGTGGGCCTTGAGACGGCCTCTGGACACCCGGATGAATCGGTTGAGGCACTACCGGGCTCGATTTTTCCTCCTTCTCCTGATTCCCGTCCAGTTCTCTTTCCAGTTCACAGTCCGAGTCCATCACGTTTAGATCCTCGGACTGACCCACGCTTCTGATCTCTTGATCCTCGAGATCCAGATGATCCCCGGTCCTGTCGCCCTCCAGCGAACGATTCGCTTCGGAGTCGCTTCTATCGTCGACGATCTCGCGTCTGCTAGCCGGTGACACGGATCCAGGACCCGTGATCCTGTCGATCCTTTCGTCGTCCTCGCGTTCCCTCTGGATCAACGACTCGGCAATTCTGTTTCCCGGCGAGGATAATCGTCGATCATCTCGATCCCTCTGCACCTCCTGATCTATTCTAATCGGCGACGACGACTTATCGTGGCTACCGGTTCTTGAGAAATCTTTCACCGTCAGAATCTCTTGCCTGCCGGCTTGATCCTGATGATCTAGCCGGTTCGACGGATGATGGTGATGATTGGCAAACGTGAAACCGTGTGGACTCAACCGGGCTAGTAGCTCTCTGCTCTGAAGTCGCTGCTGTTCGATAAGAAGCTCTCTGTACCTGGCTTCCATGTCCAGGTTCTTCTCGGCTTCCGTCCGGTCGTCGTTCTCCCGTCTCGCGAACGCGCTGCCGGTCTTCTTCATGTCGCTCAGCAGGGAGTCCACGCTGAAGCTGATCTTGCCGTTCCGCGGCTTCAGGTTCGACGAGGCGGACGTCGAAGTTGCCATATCAACGTCCTCGCAGAGGCGATCGCTGCCGGTGCCCTGACCCGTCACCACGCCCTCGCTGCTACTCATGCCGATAGCACTGTCTCCTTTTCTTTTACGTTCCGAAGAAGAGTGTTTCTCTTTTTCCTTCGCGCTCGTACAGATGAATCGAAGAACCGGTTCCAAAAATATTTGAACCTCGATCACTAGCTTTTGAGATCTATTACCAAGGCTAACGAGAGTTACAAAGTATTTCGCCAATTATAATTGTCTTCAAAGAGTTTCACTATTGGTCACTTAACACGCATCGCAATTTCTGCTGGTTTATCTTGGCGCTGATGAGCAGACACTCGCCCGTCTGGTTCTTATTCGTTTACACTCTGGCTCCGGTAACTGTTCGTCTGCCGGTACGAGAATTCGTTGAACGATGCCGCGGTTCTCGTTATTAGATTTTTTCACGTCAACGCGAACCGCCGAACGTCAACGCGTCTGCCAACAGGCAACTGTCATCGTAGCACGCTTCGCCCGGTTTGTGTAAATCGTCGTAATCGGACAGGTTCACCGACTGAGATTCCGAACGATTCGCGAGCCCGTTATTCTCGGAATCCGCCGCATCGTTGCGAAGACGGCACGAGCGGATCCCTCCATTAAAATGAGAACTTCCTTCTTCAAGAGATCAACATGTTCTTCGTTGTATGAACGTTAGCCAAGAGTCGAGACGCTGCTCAGCTTCATGCTTGATCCTTGAAAAATTCACCAGTCCTAGTTACGTCAATCCACGCGTCTCTTCTTTAGAATAGCCCGGAGCTATGAATCAAGCGATGTACCAGTCATTTCCGATGCAACACGATGTGAATCCGTTGTTCTAACGATCCAGTCCCAAGTACCTAACTGAATCACTTCTCAGAAGCATCCACAATTGTCTCACCGGTGGTCTTCGAAAATCTCTGACCATAGCCACGATTCGCGTCGCACTGTCACAATCGTCGCGTCACAACAGACGAGGAAGATCCGCGGGTTCATCTGAGTCTGTGCGTGTGCGTGGGTGGATGCGTGCGAAGAGTAACACACGTAATCTGCGTAATCTGGCGCGTGGTGGTCGGTGCTGGCGCGGAAACGACACTGATTACTAAGCCTCGGCCGCGGCTGCGGCCTGCCTTCTCTCCGTACTCCGCGTTCTCTCTCTCCTCTCGGCGGCGTTCGGCGTCGCGGTGCTCGCCGCCGTTGCGCGCCGCCCCCGCGGAACTCGTGGAACCGGTACCGCGTCCTATCCTCGGCCAATGCGAACCACTCCGGTCACACCACGTTCGAGACCCGGACCACATCGCGCTGGGCGTGTTTCCGCCAGGCGAACCGACCAATACGGACTCGATTTCCACTCGGATTCTCTCCTTGTTGAAGAACGAAGGGGAGAAACCGAGCCAGGACGCCTCGCGCTTCCGCTCGTCTGGCAGATGGCGTTGCTTGGATCGGGAACCGGGACGGCTGGTGGTACTGCGCGGCGTCGTCGCCGTGGGGATGAAAACGGCGACCCGCGAGCGGGGGAAAGCGCACGGCTCCGAAAGGGGCTGAAGCGGAACGACGCGCGACGTCAAGCCGGGGATGATGAGGCGACTACTCAGGGAACGTGACGACTCCTAATTGTCTAATTCCCGGGCGCGATGCGCGAATTGATTGGCAATTCTCGGTGCGTGTGTGCGCGCACGCACACCGAACCATGTCACCGCGTTGTTTCATCGTCGTCTCCCACCGTATTCTCATCAACGTTTCTCGGGATAATGACGTTCTCCGGATATTTTGGTCGCGATATGATGTAACCAGGGACGGATCAACGTCCTTTCAGCCTCGGGATGTCTAACCGTTGTAGAACTTCAAAATAAATTGTACGTAGTACGCATATTGACGAGAAGCTATTCGGTGGATTTTTCCTGGGAAACATTTAATAATACTTGTATTTAGATAGGAAGATAAGGCTCGACGTTGTTTGAATACTATAACGGTATCGGATGATGGGTGATTGATGAAAATTGGAAGTTTGATTGGCAGGTTTTCGACGTATGCACTTGTGCATTTCAAACTGGTTGGTTACTGGGCAGGAAATGACGGTTTGAGGGAAAAAGATAAATTTCCTTGAGCACATTCGAGATTCTCCCAGAACTTGGAGCTTTATCACAGTTAAATTTAAGCTCACATTAAAGATTAGATACATTCGGCACATAACGAAATGCGGTGTTACTGTGAATTCTCATCAGAGAGGTATTGAAACTGACGGTATCTATGTCTGGTCTCGTCATGATGTTCGCGACGTCGAGCGAACAATATTTTAGGATTAAACTAATCCGATCGGCAGGTTGCCCTGTGATATTCCGGGAGTGACAGCCTAAAATCCGCAATCTCCCATGGGGAAACATTGCAGAGAGCAGAGAGGCTAGACGTTGCCCTTGACAGAGTCAAGCCGATTAACCAAAATCTTGTTACAACTGCATGACTAGCCCGTGGGGTGCTCTTTCGTTTGCGAATCTCTGTTGGATGTTCGAAGAGAATGTGAACCTTTGAATGAGAATAAGATGCCCTGATCTTTCTGATAGGAATTGTCTGACAAAGAAACTTTTCCTGACAACAGATCGTTACTTTGAAAAGCGTAATCGGTTAATTAATTGATCCTTTATGTTTAATCATTGAGAATGAGAGATTCGCAGGTTCGAGCAAAAAGCCACAGGTATCTTTCTTCGGTTGGAACGAGCATCCTGCCGCCCCTCTGCAGCTGAGGGAGGAGTTAGCTGCTCGGCTGCGGGACGATTCCCAAAGCCGTTTGCACATTAGCGGTGAATAAACGACACCGAAATATAGCGCGGATACGCGAATCGCTATAATAGGAGCGGCGAGTAGTCTATTAAGCGTCCTCAAAACCAGTTAGTGAGTCGGCAATCCAGTTTAGGTACAAAATGGCTGTCGTTTAGCGAGGATTAATGGTCTCGGGAGTGCCCCAGGGCAGCATAATGGGGCAGATGCGTCGTCCTCGACGAGGGGGAAACCCTGTCTCTTCCTCTCGCCGCCTCTTCTCTTCCCGTCCCTTCTCTTTTCCACCCGTATCGCGACACAGCCACCCTTCACCCTCCTTTGCTCTCTTACACCCCTCCGTTAACCTCGTTATACACACCTCTCTGACTGCGGGGTCCATTATGTCCTTTTTGCGCTTTCCCCGTGCGCGCGCGCGTAAATACGCGAGGTAAATACACGCGTTCCTGCTCGCGTGTGTAAAGGAAAGCGTGCAGGGGCACGCGGTGTGCTGCGCGAGGGGAGTCCCGGGTCTCATATTTGGGCCCCGAAGCGCCGTTTAGTTTGGCGTTTCATGCTCGGACGACTCCCCTAACTGATTCTCCCTTTTACTACCGACGATCGTTTTCTCGTTTCGACGTTGTCTTGAGAGTAAAACAGTCGTTCCGATATCGATTCTCCTCTCTCTTTTCCGTGCGCGTACCACTCGACCAGTGCACGATGTGGAAGTTCAAACTCTTTGCAGGACCTCCTGTGCCGTATAAAATTAATCCAAAGTTCACGAAATTATTTTTATCGCCGCTGGGAAGAAAGAAATTTTCTTGGAAACTTTTTGCACGAACGGCTGAATCCTCTAATCCGTCGTCTCTAGGAACAGTGCGATCCGAAATTCTCACCACGCCTACAGTTTAACGAAATAATGTCGACCGTTTAAACGGGACAATGGAATCTTAAATACATACCTGGCCCTTTGCTGTTGTACCGGACACCACCAGCAATCCGATCATTTCTGCAGGTGACTTTAAACTCCGCCTCATCTTCTTTTCCTTTCATCCTTTTTCAATACTCGTGCACGTTTGCCAGATCGAGATTTACATTTTCTGTGAAACAATGGATTCTTTTATCGGTCGAACTGTTTCATAGTTGTATTCGAAGTAATATGTATAAACGCAACTATTTAAATGTCCAGTTTCAAATTAAATTAATAAGAAACGAATAGAATAATGATTTGCAGTTTCTAAATAACCTTATAAGATTTAAAAAAATGGTCAAATTGTTTGAATAATTTCGAGATTCGAATTATATTTTCGAGAAAAGCTTAAAGCGGACTGACAGTAGGCGTGCATGCGACGGAGTTATTCGACGCTTTTGTGGAAGCCTCCGAAAGTCTTAAAATAATCAAACACAAGCTACAATGGTTGGCTCATCCGGCAAACAGGATTAGGACGAGGTGCACGACGGGTTTTCGAGGGTTAGAAAATCGCAGCGCTTAGGTACCTGTTCCGCGTGTAAACTTGACTTTGCGACTCGAAGGTTTCAACCCCTTTGCTAGAAATTTGTTCATCCGACTGTTTGCACGCGGGAAGAATTGGTCGCTTATCTGCTCGCGGCCCGACTTACCACGTTCGTCGTGTTTGAACCGTAAATATTTCCCAACTGTTTCCAAAATACCATTAGGCTCTCGCGTAGAATAAAAGGAAAATTGCCGGTTGGAAAAAGAGAATTACCGTTTGTTCAACGGTTACGGGTAAGAGTTATCTGTGAAATGTGAATGATAAATTTCAATTCGCTGACCGAATCTCAGCGCGCGTCGTAAAATGTATCTCGAGCCGCGCGAATCAAATTTACCCTCGATGGAACCCGAACAGAAATTCTCGCGGGCGACAGACAGAGAAAAGGAAAAAAGGAAATCGTCACGCGTACTCGGTCGCTTTGGGGATATAAAGGGGGATGATTTGTAACCGGTCATTGTTCATAGAGCGGCCAATGACAGGCCGGTGCATCTCGTATCGAGCCAATCGCACGAACCAAAGAGGAATCCAACTCTCAGACGCGCGACTAAAACCCGAGGTAGGGTGTCAACCCCCTTTGTGCACCTTCATCTCTATCTCTTTTTATCTCCTGCTCTATCCACGTTTCACATCGTACGAACCAGATGCGTCTCGTTGGCTAACGTAGCGCGACGACTCCCTATTATGTTTGTTTATTTATTATTAATAGGGAATTCATAACAATCACATAATAGCCAGGCCGCGTATAATAGGTTTTTGTCCGTGGATCTTGCGATGCTCGCATCGCGTCGTCACGCTCGAGCTGATTCCTCGGTTTACAATGCTCCGGTCTATTCTCCACGCCTCTTTGAAAAATTCTCAGCCACCGTGTATTATGTGTAACGCGAGGAGACGACGAATTTCCTTTTAAGTTCGATTTATAAAACGTAATAAAGCCGACAAGATTTCTTACACGCGATTACATGTCGCTGTTATTTACAGTGGTTATAAAAAGTAGATATATGAGGCACCCACTGCTTTATCAAATTTTACATTTTATAGTACGCACTAAATTTTATTAGACAAATTAATGATATTTTTTCTATTTGTTTTTAATGGGAAGGTTGTGAATGTAATCTTATAAAAATGTACAGGCCAGCGTAAATCAAGCTTAAACCAGTTTCCGCTGTTTCTTTTATTTGTTCGCGGTCGTCGCGACGACGTCTTTCGATCTCGATGTCCAGCCAGGAAATTAATCGGCCCGGACGTATCGCGCTTCTGTCGTCGTTGACGTCCTCGCAGTTTCTCGTCGACGATACGCGATGGATATAAATAACCGTCGCACGGAGTAAAGGTGGCTCGTTCGAGATCCCTTTTAGCGCTGGCTTCGGATTCGGATAAAAACGAGTCTCGCTGTCCGCGTGAATCAAAATCGCGTAACCAGATAAAGATAGTCGATCACCGGGCGTCGCGTCGCGACGCGATGTCCGAATTGAAAAGCGTTTTCGATTCCTCCCGTCGAAAAAACGAACGAAATAAACGAACGAACGGAAGTGAACGGACCGAGGAAAAGAGAGAACGCGTCGGAAAAATGGGTGGTATACGTACTATATCGAAAAATGGCGCTCGAAACGAGGACTCGACGCGACGCGTGCGATTTTGCGCGTTTCTCCCCCATCTCCATTCCATGGCCGACCGACCAGCAACCACCAACCTACCTCCCAACCCTCGTGCCACCCCTCTCGTCTCCTCGCTGCTGCTCCTCTCTTCACTCTTCCATCGTCTCGCGTTGATGTGAACTCAAGGGTGCAAATTCCCGCTCGTTCGAAATTCAGGACAGGAAATTAGACGGGCGTCTCCCTCCCATAGAAATACCCGCGAAGCGTGAGAGATACGAGGAGGGGTGGCGCGCCTCGT